CATTTATCGGATTTCTACAGAAAGCACACATAGTACAGTTTTGAAGAATTCTAAACGGGTTGCGCTATTATCGGCCTTGCGCAGGTATCTTTCATGTGTGTTACTAGGGAGCAGCCCTGATCCCATAGTCGCGGCCTCACAACTACACACATATAGGTGAATCCTAATAAGGATGCGAGCAAGTAAGCATCCTGCCTCATGGGTCTTGGATTCATTAAGAGTTAGACTCAACCTTTCACTTGCTTTTTATGAGCACTGATCACCCTAGGGATGGGAGCAAATGAATTCAGTGCTCCTCACAATTAATCACTCATTCAGTTTGTTTCTACCCATTGAACCTCTGCGAGGTTGGGTTGCCACTGCAGTGATTTTTCTTATGGGCTTAACCCCATCCCCCTCGATGATTCTAGGACCACTGCCCTAGATAAGCCTTTAGTTAAGTGATCTGCAAGATTTTTCTCTGATCTTACAAAATCTAAGGCTATTATATGGTTTTTCATCTTATATCTCAAGGATTTATGTCGCACTTTCAAGTGTCGATTCATCTTCACATTTGCATTCTCTTGATGGCATTTGTCAATCGCTGACCTGCAATCACAATGAATAGAAATAGCTGGTAATGGTTTTTGCATTAGTGGAATTTCAGTTAGTAAATCTTTCAACCATTCAGCTTCTATACTAGTAGTATCAAGAGCTATCATTTCTGATTCCATTGTACTTCTAGCCATTACAGTTTGTTTAGTAGATTTCCAGGACACAGCTCCTCCTCCTAAAAGGAACACAAATCCTGTGGTGGATTTTACATCTACTGAGTCACTAATCCAATTTGCATCTGAATAACCTTCTAGTACAGATGGATAACCTTTATAGTGTAAACCATAATTTATAGTTCCTTTTAGGTATCTCAAAATTCTTTCTAAAGCATCCCAGTGACTCTTATCAGGATTTGATGTATATCTACTAAGTCTATTTACTGCATAAGCAATGTCAGGTCTGGTGTAGTTTGTTAGGAATCCTAATGATCCAATTATTTGTGCATATTCTCTTTGTAATTGAGGATGACCTGTATTTTTCTTTAGATGTACATTAGGATCATATGGAGTGGAAACAGGTTGACAGTTTGGATCATAAAAATTCTTGAGGATTTTTTCTATGTAATGTGATTGTGATAGCACATATCCATTCTCATTTTTCATGATTTTAGTATTAAGAATTAGGTCAGCTTGACCTAAATCTTTCATGTCAAAATTTTGTGATAAAAAGTGTTTGATATCATTTATGATTTGTATGTCAGAACCAAAAATAAGAATGTCATCAACATATAGGCATAATATCACAATTTTGTTGTTTTTATCTATTTTATGGTATACACACTCATCTGTTTGATTAATTACAAATCCATAAGATAGTATAATTTCATCAAATTTCATATGCCATTGTTTTGGGGCTTGTTTGAGACCATATAGTGATCTAATAAGCTTGCATACTTTCTTTTCTTGTCCAGAAGCTATAAATCCCTCAGGTTGATCCATATAAATTTCTTCATCTAAGTCTCCATTTAAAAATGCAGTTTTAACATCCATTTGATGTATTATTAATTTGTGAATGGATGCTAGAGCTATGAGGACTCTAATGGTAGTAATCCTAGCTACTGGAGAATAGACATCAAAATAATCAATACCAGACTTTTGGGTATATCCTTTAGCTACTAATCTGGCTTTATATTTATCTATTGTTCCATCAGGTCTAAGTTTCTTCTTAAACACCCATTTACATCCTATGGTTTTACATCCTGAAGGAAGATCAGTTAGTTCCCAAGTATGATTTTGAACTATAGATTGTATCTCATTATTTATAGCTTCCTTCCAAAATGGAGCATCTACTGATTTCATTGCATCTTCAAATGTAACTGGAGAATCTTCTACAAGTAATGCATAGAAATCTTCATGGACCTTTTCTATTCTAGTTCTTTTACTTCTCCTAGGCTCCTCTGGACTTTCTAGTGGTCTAATTTGTTTAGAACTAGTTTCACCTTGATTAGAACTAGGATCTGAATTATTAGAGCTAGGGCCTGTGTTGTTTATTCTGGTCTTGTAAGGAAAAATATTTTCAAAGTAATGTGCATCCCTAGCTTCAATTATGGTGTTGTTGGCTATCTCATTAATGTCAGAGTTGATTATTAAAAATCTATTTGCATTACTATCAGAAGCATAGCCAATAAAAATTCCATCTACAGTTTTAGGGCCAATCTTCTTTCTTTTATTCTCAGGTATTTTGACTTTTGCTAAGCACCCCCACACTTTTAGGTGATCTAAATTAGGGTTTCTATTCTTCCAAATTGTGTAAGGGGTTTTATCAGATTTCTTGAATGGAATTCTATTTAGTATATGACATGCAGTCATGAGAGCTTCTCCCCATAAATTTTCTGGCACACCAGAATTAATTAACATTGAGTTTACCATGTCCATTAGTGTTCTATTCTTTCTCTCAGCTACTCCATTAGATTGAGGTGTATATGGAGCAGTTATTTCATGAATAATTCCATTATCTTCACAGAATTGTTTTAATTCATTAGAAGTGTACTCACCACCTCTATCTGATCTTAGTATTTTAATTTTCCTATCCAACTGATTTTCAACTTCTGCTTTATATATTTTAAATTTGTTTATGACTTCATCTTTAGTCTTAATTAAGTAGAGGTAACAATATTTAGAGCAATCGTCTATAAAAGTTACAAAATATTTGTTACCCCCTCTAGTTGTTCTTCCTGAATCACAAACATCACTATGGATGAGTTCTAATATCTCAGAATCTCTATCAATAGTTTTAAATGGTTTCTTAGGAAGTTTGGCTTCTACACATATTTCACATTTTTCATCATCTTTTATATTAAGCTTTGGAATTATATTGAGATGCATCAATCTTTTAATTGAATTATAATTCACATGTCCTAATCTTTGATGCCAAGTGATGGAAGGTTCAATATTCAAAGCTATTGGAGATGCAAGAGTAGAATTCTTAACATTCAATTTAAAAAGACCATCACATAAGAAACCTTTTCCAATGAAGTTCAAACCCTTAGTTATTACAACTTTATTTGATTCAAAAACAAGCTTATAGCCTTGTTGCACTAACAAAGATCCACTAATTAAGTTTCTCCTAATGTCTGGTACATGATGGACATCCTGCAGGATCAAAGTCTTATCCGAAGTCAGCTTTAGGTTGATCCGACCTATTCCAGATACAGGAGCCATATTATTATTTCTCATTATCACAGTTCCTCTACTTGAGACCTGATAGGTGGAAAACAAAGATTGATTAGAGCAAACGTGAATATTAGCTCCAGTGTCAATCCACCAATCATTTGCTTGAAAGGTCATGTTTACTTCAGGGGTGAAGAGAACAGACCTGAAAGCAGTCTCAGCTGAACTGGAAGTCACCATGTTTACTTGTGACTTATTAGGTGGAGGTCCTCCCTTCCTAGGCTTGGGTGGTTCAGTTTTCTTGAAAAAGCAGTCCTTAGCAAGATGGTTGGTTCTTCCACAAACGAAGCAGGCTCGACGTTCAGCTCCTTCCTTCTTTTGAAAGTGGACAGGGTTCTTATTTTGATGAAAGGATTTCTTCTTAAATGTTTTATTTTGATTTTGGTGGAAGGGACGTTTCTTGTGTTGGGGAAAGGGTTTGGATTCAACATTGTTTACTTTGGGTTCTTTGGGTTCAGATTTTGTCACATTTTTCTCCCTGAGTCTATGTTGCTCTTCAATTCTAATGGAATTCAACACTTGTTCTAGTGTAAGATCTCCTTGGGTATGGTTAAGGTTTTTGGCAAAATCTGACCAGGACTCGGGAAGTTTGTCTATAAGACAGGCTATCTGAAATGTTTCATCTAGGATAGATCCATTCACTTTTAATTGGTGAACTATATGTTCGAATTCATGAATTTGCTCATTCATTGGTTTTCTGTTTACGCTGGTTCCCTGAAAGTCTAGAAGAATTCGCAAAACCTTCTTTTCAAAATAGTTTTCTGTATACACGCTGACGTACTCCTATTTTCTGGGTGTACGTCAGATTTAGGAGATGGACAGCCTCAGTTCGGAATCGTACATGAGCCAGAAGATTCTTAGCAGGGGTGTCTTGCAGAAGGAGTAGAAGAACGAGCTGAAGCGTAGTGATTTTCTTCCGTAGTAGTAGTTGGACATTAAAACCCTTTTACCGTACTTTTCTTTACTTGATGATGGATTTAGTATTTTAATAGTACTTTCTTTATGCACTATGTATTTCTTATTTTCTAGTTGGACTATTTTGTAATAAGGGTATGTTGACCCATATTTTATGTCTAGGATGATTTACTATTGATGATATGTCTATTCCTTATTATGAGTTGTCTTTATATTCTTGCCATTGTGATCGGGGACCTGTGACTTCGTATTGTATTTATTTCTAGACGCTTAGCATATTGGATTGAGAAGAAAAAATAATAATAGTGTATGTTTCTTCTCAATCTAATACATCGCGGGCTTGTTCACGTTCCGATTCCCCTGTATTTTGGGAAGTGGGGCGTGACAGGTTTTTTTGGTGGCCCATGCAGGTCTCGGTCCCGATTCCTATTAGTGAGAATATAGTAGACAATTTGGATACATATCATATTTTATCCGTAAGACTACAATTAAGTTCTTATATTATTATTTTAGACTACAATTAATTTCTTGTACTATTATTTTAATAACTATGTTTTAGTTCTTATTTTCCCATATATTGTTTTGACTTTAACCTTAGTTTTCCTTTTGACCCTCGTTTCCTTCAGAATCATGGTGGGTACTCGTAGTAACGATAACCCGTCCAGTAGCTGTGGCCAAATGCCCGACGTAGATCCGCGCCAGCTTTTGGCGATGATTCAGGGGTTGGCCATGAATCAACAGCTCTTAGCAAGACAGCTACAACGGGAGCCTCAGCCCTAGCATCCCCCTCACTCGGAGCCTGGTGTTAGAGAGTTCTGGTATATGCGGCCTCCTTCTTTCTCTGGTGCTGAAGGACCTTTAGCAGCAGAGGAGTTCCTCAAGGTCACAGAGACTATCCTTACGGTGACTCGTATTCCCCCTGCAGAGTGGGTAGATCTCATGGATGTTCAGCTCACGGATATGGCTCAGATTTGGTGGACTGCAGAGAAGGCTCATTTGGAGAGACCGATTTCGTGGGAAACCTTCACAGATCATTTCAACAGGAAGTACTTCCCTCAGTCAGCTCGGGACGAACTTCTGCGTAAGTTTGTTGAACTCAAGCAAGGAGATCGATCCGTTGATGAGTATGAGGCTGAGTTTTCTTCCTTGAGTCGATATGCTCCTCATCTTGTTACAGACCCCACTATCAGGAGGCATCAGTTCCAGAAGGGTCTGGACAAGTATATTAGATTGGCTCTAGCTGGTAGAGCACTTGCGACCCACGATGCCGTGTTGGATGCAGCACGCGAGATCGAGAGCGTTCAGAAGGAGCCTGAAGACCCACATGTGATCCAGAGCAAGACACCAGTAGCCCCAGCCCGAGATGACGAGCGTCCATCTTTGAGGCAACAACAAAATCCACAGCGACAACAGTTTTCTCAGCGCCAGCCACTTCCTCATGTGCATCCCTATCAGCGCCCTAGAGTGCAGACTCGCGGCCAGCCTTCGATGTAGTGTTCCTATTGTAGCTACCCTGGATATACCCAGCAGGAGTGCCCTAGGCATCTTCGTTTGTGCTACAATTGTGGGTCCCCCGATCATGTCAACCGGGAATGTCCGCAGCGGCAGCAGGCCAGCTTACCCTCACCTCCAGTTCGAGCAGGTCTTCCAGCTCCACCTCGATCAGACTCAACAGCTCCGACTCAGCACGGACCCTATCCTCGAACAGGGCCTCTTTCTCAACATCAGCAGGTTTATCAGGAAGCGCGAAGGTAGCAACCACCTCGTCAGATGTTTACGATGTCAGCTGTGGAAGCTGAGGCGAACAACCAAGTTATCACCAGTAAGAATAGTTTATTCTTAGTTTTATTTGCGTATGAACTTTCTTATTTCGCATTGCCTTAAGATATTATGATAGGATTTATTTGAGTGCTAGTTTAGATGTATTTTCCTTCTATACTAGATGAAGTTCTTATTTCTTCCATTCTTGCTTTATCACCATTGACTCTGGAGCTTCTCATTGTTTCTTGTCTCGTTGATTTGCTAGTACCAACTCTCATTCCATATCTCTGTCCTTGGATTCTTTCTGCATTATTTTTATTTTAATTCCAAGGACGGAATTGTTGGACCCTAGATGGGGGGTGATTAGGGTCTTATGCTAATCTAATCCGATTAAATGCTAATAAAAACTAATTAATAAGTTATCCTAGCAAGTATGAAATAAACAAGAATATAAGCTAGGATAAGCAATATGAACAATGAGATATATCCTATATGATAGAGATATATGCAAGGATATATAAACTACACAAGGATAAACAATCTAAACAAGATAGTGGATGATATAGAAATGAGCAATGCACAATGGCGATATAAGATATGAACATAAATATGAATGAACGCCAAAGCACACTCAAACAAGCAATATAATCACGGAGTTCGGAACTTCCGTCCTACGTCTCCGCTCCCCACTCCCGGGGAGAAATCCACTAACACAATCTGGTTTGAAAGCCGAAACTTCTTCTACACACTCGGTTTATAAGTTTACCGAAAACTCTCACACAACAAACACTATGCAATCACACTCTACACCCACTAAGTGTTGGACCTAGCATTGTCTCCCTCAAGTGCTCGGTTACAACCTCTCTCTAGGCACGTCAACCGACGCCGCTCCTCTTGGGACGATCCCCGACTCTCACCACACACTCCTCACTCGGTGTACAAGTGTATTACAAAGTGATTCTCATAATAAGCACAAATATAACAAATGATTGTTCTCAAAACAAAGTGAGAACTCAATTAAGTACAACTCTTAGTCACAAACCCACAACCCTAAATTATACTATGAATGTAAATACAATAAGCTCAAAAGGTTGTGTGTGAACAAAGAGATATAAATCAAAACTAAACTCAATGTGGTTCTAGCTAAATAACAATGATAATCAAATATATAAAATAGCTAGAAATAGAGTTTAGAAAACTTCTCAATATATCAAGAGTTGGAGAGAGAATAGTTGAATGCCCAAACACCAATAGATGATCTCCTCAAGCTCTTGTAGAATTGAATCACAAAACCGAAACACTCAAATGCTTAAAAGCTTCTTAAAACAAACTTAAACAAACACTAAACAAGTTTAAAACCTTGTTAAAATCTTTTAAACCATTCTATTGTTAGAGTATAGAATAGAATGCAATGGGGGTATATATAGCCTCCCAAGAACTCAGCCAAAAACCCAAGCAAAAGACAAAAAAACAGCCCCAAGCAACGGTAAGAAAACTAGCCGTTGGAAGCTGAAAAAGCTCTCGTCGGTCGACCGGAAAATTCATCGGTCGACCGGAAATTTTTATGCTCGCGACGATCGACGACAGACTCTCTGTCGCCCAGTGAGCATATGAACTCAGGTTCGGTCGACTCGGTGCGGTCGACGCGAAATCTGATTACACTCAAAATGTTTTTAAAGCTATTTTTGAGATTTTTAAAATGTGTTAAAAATAACAATGAAGTCCACAATTATGAAACTTGTGAAAAAGTAAATAACATGTAAGTGAACATGTTACAAAAATGTTTCAAATAATATGCATTTTCAATTTGTGAAAAATCATCAATTTTGCAAAAAGTCCAAAACAAATGAAAAATATGAGATACGTTGAATTTGATGTTGAACTAAACCAACTGTTTGAACTTGTTGTAAAAAGTTTTATAGACTTAGTAAAAATAGTATAAACTGATATTGAAGTCTATAAACTAAGAATATAATATTTCACAAAAATTGCATATTCTAGTGCAATGTTTTCAAAAACACAATAGAAATATGAAATATGTTGATTTCATATTATAAACATGAAACCAACTATGCTAATGTATATATATAACTATATATACTAATATATATATATATATATATAAATATATATTTTGATAATATATATATATATAGTAGTATATATATATATATATATAATATTAAATATGTGTATAGGTTATACGAAACCAAAAACTTATATATATATATAAACTATATATATATATATATATTATATAATATATATTATATATATATAATATATATTATATATATATATATATATAACTATATATATACGAAGAAACCAATAAATGTGTGTGTATATGATATTGAGCTTAACGTACTTAACACACATAATATAAATCCTAAACTACATTACCCAAGCAATCTTGATCTTCAATTAAGCTTGACTTGGTACACGTTGCGGATGAAGCTTGAACTTGATCTTTAACTTTGAATTTGCAAGGCTTCACCGACATTCCGCCAACCTCCTTTGGATATGATCGTTGAAGCTCTATTCCATCCATCCTCCAACTACGTTGTTTGTCTACAATACATAGGAAAACGCAAATACTAGACAAACAACATTAGTGGTAAATTGTTTGTTAAACATCATCAAAACAAGAAGGCCAACAATCTCCCCCTTTTTGATGATGACAAACAATTTACAAAAAGAGATATATGCATGAAGGAAATGAATATATAATTTATAATTCACATGCATATAAACAAGAAAGAATATACTCACAATATTTCTCCCCCTTTGACAACATCAAAAAGGGGACAAAATGAATAAGAGAGCGAAAGCTCCCCCTATCAATAAGCATAGGTGAGTATAAAAAGAATATATATAGGGATTGCTCTCCCCCTATCAAAATGCCATAAAGAATATATGAAATGAAGATCATGGAAAACATATGTGAGCAAGCATGCATGAATATGCTAAATATCACTCACATACAAAAAGATAAAGATATGCTAGATATCACTCACATACAAACAAGATAATGAGAACACATAATGATATGTCATGATAAATAGGTGTCTCAAAATACAGGCCTAAAAACTATGTATACAAAATAGATTTATGAAATCAAAAGAGAGAAAATATGAGAATCATGCAAAAAGAGTTTTCAAATGAAAACAAATCAACCAAATGAAATCATAAATCAAATATTTAAACCAAAAATGATGTTTGATCAACAAAAAAAATTCTTTTGTAAGACTTGATCAAACCACTCATAGAATACATTATAAAGCACGAATAGATGATCCATTAGCACAAACACATAAATATCATCATATAAGTGAATTATAATGAATTCAAAAAGCAACAAATCAAAACACACTTTTTAAGAGAGGCAACAATTATATCAAGCTCTTGAGCTTGTTCCAACCCATATAATCATTTTAGCATCCGGTAAACATGATTTGGGAATAAACACCCAATAAACCCGGGGGGTGACATAAATATAAACCTCTCATGAAAATTAAAACTCATAGTCATGAAGACAAAAGAATTTTATCAAATAAAGTTTGTTTTCACATAAAAATTTTCAAAGCTCATTTTACAAAACCAAGAAAAAAAATAAAAATAAAAATTCTTGGTTTAAAATCATTTTGGCACCCAAGCATTCTTGGTGCCGGATTGGTTAAGGACATGATCCATATCATTCAAGCTCAAAGCCCTAGGGTTATGAACCCTCTTGGGCATATGTGGTGCACTAACACGGTCAAAACAAAAATTATACATATGACCTTTCCGATTGCAATATGTGCAATGAAGAAGGTTAAATGATTTGTGTTGACCAAGTGGGCGTGCACGGAAATCATTTGCAAATAAAGATTTTTCTTTTAAATTATTTCGCAAATGAGAAACATCATTAAATAAAGGTGGTTTATTTGAGAAATTTGGCAAGTTTGAACATTTTTCAAATCATAGCAAAACTTTGCCAAATGGCGAAATCTACCACAAACATCACATTTAAAAACATGTGGTCTACTAGAAGCATTTGGCAAACTAGAATTCTTTTTCAAGTCAAAATAAAACTTTGCCAAATGGCCAAACCGACCACATAGATCACATTTATACACACGTGCATTCTTATGATGAACATTATGTGCATGTACATGAGTGTGTGATGAAGAAGCTTGATGAGATGCACAAGGAACATTTGATTTTATAGGTTTATGTGCATCATAGCAAAATTTAGACAAATGGCCTTTACGACCACAAATAGTGCATTTATAAACTTTGCTATATATGTGTACATAATCAGTGGATGATTTAGACTCAAAATTGACACACATATTCATAAGCTTCTTGTGATTATCAATGCATGAAGTTAATGTTGAATCTAAAGATGATATGCTATTTTTGATAATATTCAACTCAACATTAGGCATGACATCATTGATAATAGAAGTAGAGCATGTATGGTTATTCTTAAAAGAATCAAATTCATTTCTAATGCATTCTACTTCTAGCATGGCATCATTTGCATGAGTTAAGCTAGAAATGGATGAGGTCAGTTTTTTATTTTCCAAATTTAACATATCATTATTTTCTTTAAGCATTATATTTTCATTTTCAATGATGTCAAATTTGGACACTAGCTTCTCATGATCGGATTTCAATTCTACATGCTTGCTTTTAAGATCAATAAAATTATTTTGTAATTTTGTATAGGCATGCAATAATTTCTCATA